GTGCTTACATGGGAACTGAGCATAATAGTCCAAGTGTGGTTGTACCAAAGATTTGTTTAAGGGAAATAAGTTTTGGCAGTTCTATTTTCTGTTCTGATCCTAATTATGCCTAGGATGAACTTTGCCTTTTTCACAAAGGGCAAACATTTTCACTGAGGTATGGAATTTCTGTGTTTCTATATGGAACAGGCTTTCAAGGGAGGTAGTTGTGGCCCCATCAGTGAGGGTGTTCAAGGAAAGATTAGACAACCACATGTTGGGGATTACATGAACAGAGCTGGCTACAGCCAGGGGTCAGACGAGATGGCCTGGGAGACCCCTTCTGAGTCATTTTGTTTCTATGTTTCTACTATTGAACCAAGATCCCTTTCTTGCTCAGTCACTGATAGTTCATATCCCATCAGCAAACCCTTGAAGCTGGGAATTTTTGCCCCAACATGCATGTTTGTTTGTTTGTTTGTTTGTTTATAAAAGCTTTTCTATTCCATCCCTATAGAACATCTTGGGACAGCTTAAAATAAATAGAACAGCCCCACAGCATCCAACCATAATATAGTAAAACCCCAATTAAACATTAAAATAATGGGAAAATAAAAAGGATTTTGCCTGACGCTGAAAAGAATATAACATCAGTGCCAGGAAAACCTCTCTGGGGAGTGTATTCCATAGTTGGGGTGCCACCACAGAGAAGACCCTCCTCTGGGTACTCTCCCTCCTAATCACCTTCAAGGAGGGCTCGTGGAGTAGGGCCTTCGTCTCAGATCTCAAGGGGCGGGAGAGCACATAGGGAAGAATATATAATATACTTGCTTATATTGAACTGTATTTGCCATTTTGATGTCCATTCACCTAGATTGGAGAGATCCCTTTGGAGCTCCTCACAATTCCTTTTGGTTTTAACCACTCCAAAAAGTTTAGTGTCATCATCAAATCTGACCACTTAATTCCTATTTCCAGAACATTTATGAATAGACTGAAAAGTATTGGTTCTAATACAGAACCCCATGGAATTCCACTGGTGATATATCTCCATTGGAAGAAGTTGCCATTTATTGCCACCCTCTGCCTTCTGTTCTTTAACCAGTTAGTGATCCATAGGAGGATCACTATAGTGATCCATAGTTTTAATTCCATGACTGCTTTGCTCGGAAGCCTGTGGTGAGGTACTTTATCAAAAACCTTTTGGATGTTCAGGTAAATCATGTCTACTGCTGGATCATCCCTGCCCTCTACATGCTTATGGGCACTCTCAAAGAACTCCAATAGGTTAGTGAGACAAGAGTTCCCCTTGTGGAAACCATGTTGATTTTTTCTTTCTTTTTCTTTCTTTTTATTTCTTGCAGCAAGCCTTATCCCTCTTTGTGTTTACTGATGCTATCGCTAATAATGCTTTCAACAGAACACATGTTAAGCTAACTAGCCTGTAATTTCCCTGATCTCCTCCGAATCCCTTTTTAGAAATTGGTGTTACGTTGGCCATTCTCCAATCCTCTGGTACAAGAGATAATTTTAGGGACATGTTTATTATTTTGGTAAGAAGGTCAGCAATTTTATGTTTGAGTTCTTTGATAACTTTAAAATTGATACCATCTGGACTGCGTGACGTGTTGACTTTCAAGTTGTCAATAAGTTTGAGAATTCCATCTTTTGTCACTATCTTCCTTAATTCCTCAGATTCCCTTCCAGAATACATAAGCTCAGGGACAGGTGTATGCTTCGCATCTTGTGCTGTGAAGTCTGATAAAAAGAATTCCTTGAGCTTCTTTGCAATCCCCTCATTCCCCCTTAGTGCTCCTCTAATTCCATTATCATCCAATGGCCCAACTGCATACTTAGCTGCTTTCTTTCTGTTGATATATTTAACGAATTATGGCAGCATATAAATGAAAGTATAAATAAAACAAATAAATAAATAAATAAATGCCTTGATATTGTTAGTAATGTGCTCCTCAAGCTTGTGGTCCTGTCTGTTCTTTTCATTTGGCAAAACTTCCATTTTTTTGAAGGGAGCTTTCTTTTCCCTAATAGCTTCCTTGTATTAACCATGCTAATGATTTGCTGAACTTCGTGCAGCCTTTTCTCACTTGTGGTATGCATACTATCTGTGCTTCTGTTGCAGTGTTCTTGAGTAATCTTCAGGTGCTTAGAAAGTTACACTTCTTACAAAGTGTACTGAGTTACACTTCTTAATTCCTCTCTTCAGCTTCTTCTTTACCAGTTTCCTCTTTTGAATTCAAATGCAACTGTGTTTGACCTCTTTAGCAATCTACCACCTATTAAATCTGATTCCAACATGGTCAGTGCTACCTAAATGGCTCAACATCTACATCCTGTACCATGGCCTGGGCAACCCTGCCTAGGACTTATTCCAAGATTGCCTTCCTTCTGCTAGGCTCCATGGTCAACTGCTCTAGGGCACAGCCATTTAGGGCATCAAGAAATGAAACTTGTTCTCTGGAACTGGAACATGCATTTATCCAATCAAAGTGTGGGTAGTTGAAGTACCCCATTATTCAGTACTGCCTTTGTTGAAGGCCTCTATGATTCCAGTTCCCGTCTCAAGATCAACCTGAACATTCTGGTTTGCTTCTTGCCTGTCCTTCGCTATTGTGTTTATTCTGTAAATTCTTTTTTTATTTTTCCATTCTTCCCTAGTAATGTTTCTGGTTTTGGTCCACAGTTCTCCTGGATTACTGTCAGCTGAGTTCAGTAATGCTATATGTTCCTTATATGAACTCAAGAATTTAAGAAATGTTATTTAAGATGTACTTCAGCACTATGCTTCTGTTAGTGACCTTTTTCTGATTTTCATTATTAAGGTTCATGGACACTACCACAATCTACCGCTGGTCTTGTTTTTGTTGGCAAGCATACAGTTTCTCCATCTTTTGCTTCCAATTATGTAGTCTGTTTGATTTCTATCTAGGTCATATGATGATGTCCATGAACATGTTGTCTGAAATATGTATTTTTGATGTTTAAAATGATGGCTTCACAGTATTTTATAAATAGTTCTCCTGATTAATTTCTGACCCTTCAACCCACATCATTTCTGCTTTGTTTCCTTCTTTTTGTGTTCCAGTCATGTATTATTCCCAGCATGTCTTGTTTTGGTGTGTTAATCACTTTCCTCTTGGACACCTGCATCAAATTCTCTATTCCTTCTTAATCTGTTCTTGAATGTAGAGTCCGTTATGCTGATGGGTTTTTGAAGAATTCTGACTGATATCGTTGAATAATAGCCCTTTATTGCTGTGCTACATCTTGCCTCAGTATTAGAGCCACTCTGTTTCTTCTGAATCTGCACTTTCCCAAATGAAATATTTTGGGTTTATCTGACTGAAAATAACTCACTACAATCCACTTTAGATCACTGACTCCAAGTATTGCAATGTTTAACTGTTTCATTTCTTGCTTTATGGTTTCTACTTTGCTTTAATCCACATTCCATCCCAATTGTATGTGTTGCATAGCATTAGACTTTCCTTTCGCCTCTGTGGTTGGCAGCCACTAGACTTCCTTTCTGCTTTGATCAAGTTGCATCATAAGTGACAGCACCAGTCATGCTTGCCTTGTGCTCTTCCCTGGTAGTTGGTTGAGTGTCTTCTTACCTGGGAAGCTCATCTTCTGGTGCTATCATTTTGGATTATTTCATTGTACAGTTTTCAAGGTAAGAAATATTCTGAGGTAGTTTACTGCTGCCTTCTTCTGTGCAGTACTTACCAGAGTTGTCTTGTGCATCACTGCCATTCTTTCCAAAAAAAATCTTCCACCAATGTTGCCTTCAACTGCAGCTGCTGTCCAGTGGCTGTCCTTCAAAATTTTTTCTACCTCATTATCTTTAGAGATATCCATTCTCTTCTGTTGATGCAAGCATTCCTCTTGAAATGGGTGGATGCATCTTAGACTGGTGTCTCAACTTTGACCATTCCAACTTGGGTGACCCTGTTAGGAGACCAGACTAGTGAGAGAGTCTTCCCCCAGTTGGCATTGTTCTCAGCTTCTCAAACTCGTATATCATGTTAAGATGGGTATCCAAGGGGGACTGCTGCTGCTCCATATGGGAAAAAAATGGGTCTGGGAGGATGGCTGCAGGTTGTATGGTGGAAAAACTGTTAGTAATCCCACTTTTCCTCCAAATTCCCTGGGACTGTATATTCCCTGCTGCTGGTTTATCCAATCCAGCATTCCTCCTTCCTTTTCTTATACCTCTGGCTGAACAGTTCCTGCTGTCCATGTATCTGCAGAGGGTAGAGGAAAATAAACTTAGTAGTGGATTTTCCCTAGCTAATATGAATTGAATCCAGACATCACCAATTCTCTGATAATCTTAATAGGATTATACATTTATTAAACTATTTAATTTCATATATCTTGTAAATATAAAGGTCAAAATGATAAAGTCTGTCATTGTCCGCACCTCTAAGAAGAAGTACCAAGCTGAAAGCACTTATGAATTCAAGATTATAATCACTGATCAAGTGATGCATCAATTACCTAACACTCCTGTCCATCTATTCAGCCTGCATATTTTCCAAATACAGTCTTGTAGTTTTGAGCTTACGTAATGAGTTCTACTAAGGGGCAAGCTAGATGCCAGTAATTGCCTCAAAGTTTCCTGTTCAGCATTCGGATACATGCAGAAACAAGCCATTATTGCTTCCAGCTAGAGGAAGGTAGACCTCAGCAACCCATTGCAGTGGGTTATTTATTTAAACTTCACTATTTTTCTAAAAGTATATAGAGCAGCACATAAAATATAACTGTGTCAAAGCAAGTATTTCTAATGAGTCTGAGTTGAAGGTGTGCTTTGAATATTGGGTAGTAAGGAAGTTAAATAATAAATGCTAATTTGGTACTCAGCAGAATTTTAGGAGAGAGATTGACAAGCAATTAAGCCTGTGATTATGAAGTACATTGAAGTGAAATGGGCACTTGACGGAGTTACATTCTTACTTGCTTTCCCATCATATTTTTTCTCTATTTTGTCTTTTATCTAGGAGTGGCCATACATTGCTCGCCTTTTGGTTTTCCCGTCAAGAAGGAAAACTCAACAGACAACAGACTATTGAGCTGGGCCATCATATTCTCAAAGCACACATCTTTAAGGTAGCAAGAAACCATGCAATGACATTTCCACCTCGAGGGCTAATTACTAGTGTGTAATTAGTGTGTAATTTCAAAAACACAAAAATAACTTTTGGACACCCACACTGATACCTTTAGCCTAATTAGCAAATGTTTTAGAGGAAGGCCCAACCTCCACCTTCCACTGCCAGAGAGAAGGAACTGATGTTTTGAAAGAGGGAGGAATTTATCCTGGGAACTGCTGCTGCATGACTCCTACTGTAAAACTCAGATTTATAGTTAATAAATCTGAACTGATGGCCTTATTCCATTACCCTCCCACCAAAAGTGAAATGCAGTCTGTGGATCAGAGTTAATTCTTTCAAAGTCCTTTTGCATATTCAACTTTTAAAGCCTGACTCAAAATTGGCAATTTCTGAAGAAACAAGCTCAGTTCTGTAACTCACTTGCTAAAAAAACTTGATGAATAAGTATTTATGTGTATACTGACTTAAGGAATATGGCTAAAAATATGCAAGGAGGATTTGCAGAGGTGTAGATAATAACTTTTCAAAAAGAAGGCCCTAAAAGAATTATCTTTGAAGAAAAGGAATGTCAAATCCATTCCTTTCTGAAGAAGATGTTAGCAAAAGAAAAAAAAAGAGAGCACCTTTTATTATCTTCATTATTGTAGAAGAAATTTTACTTTTGAGTAATACCCACTTCTTGTAATATATTGCCCACCTGACCAATTTGTAATAAATTGTGGTTCCATGTACCCTGAAATTTCTGTTTTATATTCAGGGGACTGTATTTTTTGAAAACAGTCAGACTTCAGTGCATTTAGAACAGATTATACAATCCTTGTTGTTCTGACATTGTTTGCATTTTATATAAAACTCAAACCATCCTCTCCAATACTTTGTTTTGTCTTCAGAAAATTCCCTTGACATTAAAAATCCTTGCCTATAGGTCCCCCATTGGTTATGGGCATGTAAAATGGAGGGGAGTGGAATGGTGCTTTGAATGATCAAATTTCAAATGTCTTTTTCAGGGTCTGAGTAAAAAAGTTGGGGTTTCCTCCTCAATTCTCCAGGGGCTTTGGATTTCCTACAGCTCAGAAGGTCTTTCCATGGCACTGGCCTCTCTGCGGAACTTGTACACTCCCAACATAAAGGTACTGGGAAAAGATCTTGGCCTTTAGGTACCAGATTGCCAGGAGACAAGTCCCTTGAGCTCTTAAAGAAGCAAAGACTCAAGAATCAGGCACATGTCAAAATAAGTCCAAATTCCTTTCCTGCTTGTAATTTTAGTATGTAGAAGGCTAACTTTTCTTTAGCAAAGCGTGGGGATAGAGAGAACAAAAAGTCCTGTGTTGTCCACTTCATGGTCTTGGGGGCAACAGTGGGAATAATAGACATAGTAGGACATGGAACTGAGGTGGACCTTAACCCCCCCCCCACTCCTCCTGCACTAAAATATGATTTTCAGGTTTTTCTGATTATGAAAGCAAGGTGGGGTTTTAGTTGAAGGATTTTTAAATGAAAGCTTGTGTTCTCGGGTTGTGGAAAACACATAGTTGGATTGGGGAGGGCTAAAGGGAAAGCAAAGGAGCTACTTGCATACTGCATAAGTCCACTTTCCTTGATGAATCCCTGAAATTGAAATCTTCAGTTTAGATTTTGATACACATAATTTGTATACCATGAGACTGCTGTTGGCCTGTTCAATGAGAATGGTCTCTTGTTGTGTTAGCAACAAACCAGGCATGACAATAATTGCGTGATGGCAATAACATTCTGATTTTTTAAAGTAAAGAACAGGTGTGAAGAGCCAGGGAGCATCCAGCACTACAGAGGATAGGGAGGGAGAAATTACTCTTTCCCGACCTGATGTTTTTATTAATGAAAACTCTCCCCTAGGCAAGCCTTTATTTGATTGGGGGGGGGGGGTGCAATAGCCCCAATAGAGGGTTTTTCCAATTCAAGTAGAAACTGAGAGTGATTATTTTTCTTGGGACCATGGTTGGTGGGGAAAGTAGCTAAAGTTTTAATAAATGTGAAGGAATTTTTTCATGTTTAAAGTGTATATGTTAATTGTATTCACACAATTAATGTCACATCTAGTTAGGCTTTTTGTCAAAACCCACCCTGCTTTACTTTTCAGTGCCTTGGGCAAATCCATAAATTATTTATCCCCATTTCAGATACCAATACTTCAAAATTCTTTCCATTCAAGGAGAATTCTGTTTTGTACCTCATTGTGTGTCACTGTGTTCCCTTCTCAACTGTGCTGTATTCCTAATTAGTAATTAAAATGCAAGCTTATCAGTTGGATATTATATCTATATCTATATTAATCTATCTATTTTGGCAGTTTTATATATTTGGAGTTAAAAGATCACATACTTCCAAGTATCAGATGGTGAAGGCATGCAATAGAAGACCACAGTTGCCTTCATGTTTCCCTGCTTACAGTCTTTTCAGAAGCATCTGTTCAACTGTTGCTTGATGCTTTTGATCTAATATAGCAAAGCCAATTGTATCTGGTACCCATTAGGGCAACCAGCAAGTAGGAGGAGCCAAGGAGGGCAGAGCATCTAATTGGAAGCAGACCAAAGCAATCAAAGTAGGTGGCGTAATAAATTGAGGTGTACAAATTAACTGTAGGATCATGTGTTCAAAGCCAAGAGCTATGGAGGAGGTACTTCTGATCAGCTGCACAAAATGGAAACAGTCTTTTGAGCCCTCACTATAGTACCAAAGCAATCCTATAAACTCATATGTATTTTCTATGGCAGTAAAGGCCAAACTGAAGCAAGCTAGCACAAAGTAGAATGTTGGAGAGAGTCCTTTGGCCCATCCAACTGCAGTCCTTTAAACTCACATTTGTTTGATACCAAAGGAACTTATGACACAGAAAGCGCAAGCTAAGGTATGTCAGCTGCATGATCAACAGTGCAAAGCAAAAAGATGGCACAGCAACACACAAAAGCACTCATGAACCAACTATTTTCTGCTTCCATCAATTACCCATTGCAGAGAAAGCCAAATTGAGGCATACAAGTTAAACTTGGGTTCTTCTTCGTGGTCTCTGTGCATCACACACATGGGCTTCTGTGCATGCACAGATGACCACTTGAAGAAGGGCACTTGCAGGTAAGCAACATGCCTTTCATGAGTTCAAAGCAAACAGTTGGGGGTGTTACCTGTGATCATATTTTTAACTTCTGTACAAGAGAAATTCACTGCACGCGCGCGCGCACACACACACACACACACACAGGGTGCCAAAAATGTATACACATTTTAAGAAAGGAAAAAAGTCTATTAAAAACTGTCGTATGGTGACACTAGCATTCATTTGATTAACACCATCTTTTGAGCAAATGTCATACTACACTTTGCCACCTAATGCAATTCAACTTCGAAAAGTAATAGATAACACCTCTTAAAATGTGTGTATATTTGTGCCACCCCCTGTGTATGTATGTAGTGAAAAATAGCAAGGAACTCTTTCTCTTTCCTCTGCCCACTCTCACACACACACTCCTAAGAAAAGTCAAAAGTAAAGCAATATACCTGCTAGCTGCTGCTTTTCTTTGACCTCTGGATTCCAATCCAAATTCATCATACTGCAGCCTAGAGTTGTTGCTGGTGGTTCTCTTTTGATTCAGCTCATATTTGCATAAAATGAGTGAATATATACAGTCTGAGAAGCACTATTTCATGTTCACTTCAACTCATTCCCTCACTCTCTTGCATGCATTCCCCATCTCTCTCATGCTTCCTCAGTTTCAGGAAACATATACAATGTAGCCTTGATCAGACCCCTTTCCTTTTTCAACTCCTTTCACAGGCCACTTGCTTCTTGAAATCTACTTTCATGGTTACTAATCAAAATGAAAAGCTAATTGGTGCCAGTTGGGTCCTCACACATTACTTTAGAGCCCCTTTACTCAGCACTGGTTAGGCCTCATCTGGAGTACTTTGTCCAGTTTTGGGCTCCGCATTTTTAAATGATGCAGACAAGCTGGAAAGAGTTCAGAGGAGCCCAACAATCTGGGAACTGAAAAAAGCCCTATGAGGGAAGATTGAAAGAACTGGACATGTTTATCCTTGAGAAGAAAAGACTGAGGGGAGACATGATAACACTCTATAGGTAATTGAAAGGCTGTCACAAAGAAGGAGGCCAGAATCTCTTCTTGATCACCCCAGACACAGAATAATGGGCTCAACCTGGCAGGAGATTGGATGGCATTTTGAGCCTGAGCTCTGACTGCTCATAAACTACACCTGTAAAGCAAACATACACAAACAAGCATGAAAATTAAAAACAGGTAAAATAAGAGACAACAGGATGATTCAATGCTCATCCTTAAACAATGCAAATATTGCTTATCTTATTTTCATCTCAGGGATAAAGCAACAAAATGTGGCCTAGAAGAGGAGGACAGTGACAGTTGAGAGGAAAGCACACCAAAAGTGCTAAAGACAACATAGTTCCATTAGCAGATATTTGTAATTATACTGAAACAAAAGAAAAGATGAAGGGAAAAATCAATATCACCAATTGCAGTAACTTAAGAAAAAGAAGAACAAAAGATTATCCAATTGCAATATCTCTTCACAACAGCATTGATTAAAAAATTAACACTTCTGGTTTGAATATACACATTAATGTAACCATAAGATATGCCTAAAAAGGCATCCAAATGAAAAGATGACTTTAAGATATGCACTGAAATGCAGCAAGAGCACCATTATCTTCATTCTACTGACTCAGGAGTGTTTAATCCCTCTAGACTTGGATTATAAGCCTCTTTGGAACTATTAAAGATCTCAGAGTACAATTGTGCTGTCCATCTGTTAATCCCAACATGTCAAGAATATAATTTAAAAATACAAGAACATTTGCAGTTATCACAAATTTTTCAAGAACATGGTTCATATGAGAGCAATAAGAAGCCACTCAAGGGGCATGCCCATATATTCTTTAGAGACTTTACAGAGCTACCCAGCCTTTTCTTAACCAAACAAGAAATGCGGACCCAGGATAACTACAAAAACCACCTCTGCCACTGAAGCAAGTGAAAGACAGTGAACAAACACAGGACATTGGGAATGATGCAGCAAGGTCTGAAGTCATATGTCATTAACTTTTTCTGGATTGACTGATAATAGTAGGCTCTACTACTTGTAGCATTAGTTATACTTTGGTAGTTGTGCCACCTATAAGAGAAAAGTAAACTCCAATGGTGCATGGAGCAAAGATTATTTGGAAATCACTATCCCTTCCCCATATTATTTTCCTACAGAAGTACAGGAAGAACCCCCCAGAACCTTCCTTCATACCCAACAGGAGCTCTCAAGCAGTGAAAACAGAGATTATAAATTATGTTGTGCTATCATTAATACCGTTTTAGTTCTTATTAATGTTATCATGGGATATCCCCTACTGGATTATAATACAGTGGTAAGCAGATATAATATCTTGAATTGCATAGCCTTCTTATGAAACAATAAAATTAGACACATATCAGCTGTTAAGGTATTATCCCTTAATGGTAATGGTCTGGTTACTCCCCCAAAAAAGAACTAGTGTTCAAAATCTGTTCCAAAAGGAGCATAATTGTATCATTCTATTACAAGAGTCTCACTGGAAAAACAGATAGACTACAATACTTTATCCAGGATTAGATTAGTTACACACTGTGCCAGCTCTTCAAAAACCCATGGTGTTTTAATTTCAGTAGCAAAGAGAATAATCTTGATAATTTCAGGCACACTAAGCAACTCTAGAGGTCATAATTTCTTTATGGAGCATAGGAACACAAAAAGAGGAAGAATATATAAGCCGAATAATAATCTATTACACTTTCTCCAGAATATATTACACATTTTGAACCCCTTTAAACAAAGGAAGCTAATACATGGATGTGATTGCAATACAGGGCATATGAGGAATTGGATAGAAGTGGGAAAGCAAATATAACATCTAACAAGGAGAAGAGTGGTTTTGTTGCAAATCCTAAAAGAATTTAGTTTAACTGACATTTTAGAGGTCATTATAGCCAATGAAAGTTTTTTTTTCTTTTCACATGGGCACTTCACAGACTTGAGAATAAATTATATCCTAGTCTCAGTTGATTGATTCTTAAAAACCATTAATTTTGAT